ACGTCCTACGTGGTACAACTTTTTTAAATTACGTTTTGACTTCTACTTTCTGATTTTTCTTTCAAAAATATCCCCAGAACCCAAATTTTCGCCTATTTTTTCTAAAATTATTTTCAATTTCATCATCCACATATTTTTCTTCATTTTTACATTAAATTAAAATTTTAAAATTAAAAAATTATATTTATAAATTAATTTTAAATATATTAAAATTAATTGGGTATTACATTTAATATGCTGAATAATGGGTGATAAAAATTTTAACAATCACTTAGTGGCGATTAAATGTCCATTGTTAGAAGTGATGAAATTTGTAACACAAAAATTTGACAATTTATGGAAGAAGGTGTGCTACTAACTTTTTTAACAATGTCAAAAGATTCAAATTATCATTAAAATTTAAATATATATTTTTTAATTTGTATATTAAATTTATTTATATTGTAATATAATATTAAGATATATTTTAACATATATTTTTAACTTTTTAATATTTAATATAGATAATTTTTTGTATTACTTCACTCGATAACAAGTGATCACATACATATAATAAAAATTATTATTTTAAAAAATATGCTTCCAAAGTGTTTATATATAAAATTTTAAAATTAAAAATTCTCAAAATTTGAAAAAATTAAGTATTAAAAAAATTGGTAACGTGGTCTTGTTTTAGTTCAAATTGAACAAAAAAATATTTAGTTCAGTTATCGGATCAAGTAGTAGGAAATTAAAAAAAAAGAAAGAAAGAGTTCATTTTAGTTTGATTTTATTATGAAACCGAAATAGAATGAATTAAAAATATTTTTAAAAAAAATTAAAAAAAATAAAACATTAAAATTCAAAATCTAGAAAAAGGAATAATATTCGGTTCATTTAGTTTGGTTCTCAATTCAAACTCTATGGCTTACCTAATTTTCGATCATACCAGTCTAGTATTGTCTTAAACCGACGAACAAATTTTATAATATTTTAAAATTTAATAACTTGATAATTGAGGGATAACGAAGGCAATAGAATAAAATAGGAGGGCAAGAATGAAAAATAAGAAATATTAGGGATATCCCTGCAAATGTAAAAAAAGGGGAGGGGGTAATTAGAAGGAGAAAGTTGCGTGGGGGTCAGAATAATTAGAAGAAATTATCATGTGGGCCAGATGACGTGGAAAAAGATGAGTGGGTAAAGCAATATAGTAGGAGAGGGAGGGTGAAGAAGGTGGGGTAACTTTGTTTGGGTGGAGAAGAGAAGAGAGAAGAGAAGAGAGAAGAGAGAAGAAGAAAATGGGTGCAGCATGATAACACTGAGAATCGAGGGGGAGTCTGGTCTGGTCTGAGATTGATTTCTGGTAAATGACATGGAAGAAGAACTTGCCATGCTAAGGCAGCTCATCGGTCAGCTTCAAGAGCTCGAGCAATTCTACGGCTATCCTCCTCCTCCTGATATCCCTTTCTCTCTTCTTCAACACCAACTTCATCATCATCATCATCATCATCACAGGTGCCTCTCTCCCGATAGATCTCTTTTGCATTTTTGTGAATTTGATTTTATTTCGCTTCTGTTAATTTTGCTTGCTAACGTGTTGGAGTTTTTTTTTTTCTTTTTTTCCTTCTTCATTTTCCTGCTTAGGTTTTTGAATTTCTTTGAACTTTTTCTTGTGTGTTTTTGTTTTGGCACTTTACACGTTTTAGTTAGGCGATTGAATCTGCTGCAACGGTTGTTTGATGAGCTTCGCTAGTTTAGTAACTTTGCTTTGTCTTCCTGTTCTGTTGTTGTGCAATGTGATTTTTGGGTTTACTTATGCGGATTAGTTTGACATTGTCGGGTATCGGGTGATTAATTTTCTTCTCTGCTATGATTCGTCCCCCCTCTTCTTCTTCTTTTTCTGATTGCTAGTTTTCTGATGATTTCAGGTTCATTACAAGTTATTGTGCTAACTTTGCGTTTTATCTTCCTTTTCTGATTGCACTCTCTGCGATTTCGACCTCCCCTTTAACCAGCACCTACCTTTTACATCTCGATTCTTCCTCTATCCTCCTCCGGAGAAAAAGTTCCTGGCTTGGTATTTGTTTAGATTTTGGATTTAATGATGGAAAGGGTCATGGTCAACTGTTTGTAGATGACCCCTCGAGCCCCTACTCTTAAATTCTTCTTGGCATAAAATTTGCCAAATTTTCATCTCCATCCTGGAGATGCCCGTCGTAGGAGTCATTTTGATCGGGGGGTAATCTGTGGCATAGTCATCTTTACCCTCTCTCTTATCTGCAAGAAAGGTGTCTGGGGGGGGGGGGGGGAGGATTGTGAGGAGTGGAAAAAGGTTATGGTGTTGGTTATTTACAAAAGCACTCAGCAGTCACTTATTTGATTCAATTCACATGCCAGACCTCCTTCAGAACCTTGGCAATGAACGTGTCTCCAAACATTCGGTTTTTTTAGATAAAAAACAGTGGTCAAAATAAACGTGTTTCCAAACATTTGTTACTTGGTTATTTCATGTTCATAAAATACTAGCTTGTGCTTACCCATGTCTATGGTTGATAAGAGCTCTCTCTCTCTCTCTCTCTCTCTCTCATCTATGTAGTTGTACAACTGCACGAACATTTTCAGCTGTTAATCTAAGTTTGTATCCATGGTTTTGACTTTTTCATTCATATGTATATTAGTCAGATTAAAATTTGCATTTTGATTGGATTAAATCTTGTAAAAATCTGTAGTGCAGGTACATTCTCCATAGAAATGATGTAGAATTAAATGGGCTTTTAGGCATTATATAATATAAAAAGGCACATTGTGCCATATGTTGGCCAATTTGATCCCCAAGCACCTTCCCAGTTATATGGACTGTTTATTTCTATGAAAGGATTCTTTTCTCCCTATGTTCTCTAATATGTTTTCCATATGGGTGAATTAATTAGTTGTAAGGTCCTCTTTCTATAACTTTTTTCATAAATGTTTTAAGGTGTGTTTGCCTCATCTTTTGGCTTCAACATTGCGTTTCAAAGGCACTTTTGTAATGAAACAGGTAATGTACAAAGTGCTTTTGACAACTGTTAAAATGAAAATATGGTTTTGATAGGTTAGGGTTAAAGTTACAATACGTAGTTTTTAGAACGTTGTTTTAACTTTTACTAAAAATTTACATTTAAAATTTCAAAAATCAACTTCATAAGATATATAGCTTCTTCTTTTATAAATCGACAATAGTTTTTACAATTATTTGTATTAAATACCAAATGTTTTTGATAGGTTAGAGTCAAAGTTTATCTCAAAAAAGAAAGGGTTAAAGTCAAAGTTACAATATGTAGTTTTTAAAAAATTGTTGACTTTTATTAAAATTACTTAAAATTTCAAAAGTCAACTTCAGAAGATATATAGCTTCTTTTTTTTTTTTTTAAGTGACAGTAGTTTCTACAATTATTTTTATGAAATACAAAATGTTTTTGACTAAAAACACTTTTAGTGAACAATTATTTTTGCTGCACTTCTAAAACTCACAGCACAAGATACAGTAATCCTNNTTTTATTTCAAATGCCGTTGAGTTTTTTGTTTGTGAAAAGAAAAATGATACGGCATAAAAGGCACAAAAGAGGTGCCACCCAATAACAATATGGTCATAAATCTCTCAATTGATTAGGTCACTAGATCAACAATCAGGCCCGACTTGAGCCATAAAAAAAAGATGCAGTACAAAAGAAGAGAACATCTGCAAACATAAAGTGGAGAATTTCCACCTTATGATATCCTTCATCCACATATAGCCTTAAGAGAGATTACCTCTCTAGCCTTGAGAAGGAGGTGGTTAAAAGCTTCCATTATAAGAATAAAAAGAAACGAGGAAAGGAGATCACCTTTCTTCAGACCTTTGAAGGACTTTAAAGATTCAGACACTCCATTAGCAATCAACGTAAAAGAGACCATCAAAGTGCAACGGGAAATCCAACAATCCTTCTCTCTGCAAAAGTCATCCTCCTTAGGAAATAAAAAATGAAGGAGACTTGATAATATGCTTTTCAGCATCTAGTTTGCAAAGTAAACCTGGAGTTCCCTTGTTAAGAGCTGCATCAACCATTTAATTGGCAATTAAAGTTGTATCTAAAATTTGTCTTCCTCCTATAAAAGCTTGCTGAGTTTTGCAAAACGAAAGGAGACTTGATCATATGCTTTTCAATACCTAGTTTGCTAACTAAACCTAGGGTTCCCTTGTTAAGAGCTGCATCAACTATTTCATTGGCAATTAAAGATGCATCTAAAATTTGTATTCTTCCTATAAAAGCTTGCTGAGTTTCGCCCACCATTTTGTCAACAATGTGGCTTGGTTCTTCTAGCCAAGACTTTATCAATGAGCTTGTAAATACAATACCAAGCTAATAGGTCCAAAGTCTTTGAGGTTTACTGGCATTTCAACCTTAGGAATTAGCAGCAAGAAAGGAAGCATTTAAAGAATGCTTAAGGACTTTAAAGATTGTCAGAATTCTTGAAACAGATCAACAATATCACCCACACCCTTAAAAGCATTCTTATTATGAAGGAGAACAACCATAGAGAAGCCATCTGAGTCCTGGGCTTTGCCCCCTGTTGGAAGAGTAAGCGCCTCAAGGATCTCCTCCTCAGAAAAAAATGCTCAAGCCTCTTCCTGTCTGTATCATCTGAGCATAAGAAGTCCAGATCATCCAGCGTCAATCTCCAATGCTCATTTTCACTGAATAACTTTAAGAAAAAACCTTTGGCAACCTTCTGTAGCTCTTTGATAGTCACAGAATTGACCACCTACTACCACTTTAGGAATGAAATTGTTACACGATTAGAGTTTGGCATTTTGAAAAAAATTATTTATTTTTTGTTTGAAAAAGAAAAGAATTAGGTAACAGTCAGGCACCAAGAGGGTGCAGTCCTAATACAGCTTACCAATAGAAGCGGTCCAAAAGTCATCATCCAACAAATTTAGGTTCCTGTATAAGAGATTTGAGTATTCTGAACCAATGATCCTTGGTGGAGGTAAAAAGGGTGATCAAAAGATCTTCCATTCCTCTCTTCCCAAATGACCCAAAAGATAGGAGGGATGAGAGAGAGAAACTTCCTCTGGTTCTTGGAAGTATATATGCCGTTCCAAGCCCAGAGTTTGTCCTCAACCGAGGCACTGACAACCACAAGAGAGATTAAGAAGGTTAAGAGCAGAATCCCAAAGCTTTCTAACTTCTCAGCACCGCAGAAGGATATGGACTGTGGACTCACACTCGTTAAGCTACTTTGTGAAAAACTTAATACTTTAGTCTCCCTTTTCAATTCAAATAACTCAACGGTGTTGTGAATTTGAGAAAAAAAAAACGTGGGAATCTTGGCTCTTTGTTATCACAATTTCTTTACTCCCAACGATTGATTCTCTGCTTTACTTGGGCAAGTCTAGATGATGCTTTGGAGCTGGCATAACCAAGTGGAACCTTCTCATTCCATCAAGAATTTACCAAATCAAGAGAGTTGTTAACCTTCAACTGCATATGCTCAAAATGGAATAGACAGGTTCCCAAGACAGGTCAATTAGGACAAATGTATGTGGAATGACCTGATGTAGGTATGGGCAGATGCCCATGAGGCAAGTCCGGATTTCCAGAGAAACCAAGAATTTGTCAGTCCTGGAAATTATTCCATCCTTCCATAAAAACCATGTTGTTTTTTAAGAAGCAAAATGTTTTTGATTTAGGTTAAAGATCCTCTTTCTTAATTAATCTTCAAATGAACACCAAGCAGGTCATTCTATCATTTCAGCCTCACAATGGGGTTGTGCAGAGATAACTGCAAAAC